ACTGATAATTCGTGCCGACTTTTTTTATAACCTTCATATGCGATGGTTTGCTGCTGCCATTATAATGCTTCTTTGATGCGATATTAATTTAATTAACGTCTTTTGCACAGTTTAAAAACATGGATAATGACGCTATTAATAATCACATCTATTTAATGATTATTTCAATTTGCACAAAAAATTCACAGAATCGATAGAAAATTTCCAAATAGAAGTTCGCACCAATCGTTAGCTAGCTAATTTAAATTGGATATCGTGGGTTGTGTTGTATCCGAAGAAATAAGATTCCATCTCGTTAAATGTATTTTTTGTTTATTTTTTCCGTTTATTCCCTCCAGTCAGTCTCTCACACTCTCCCTCTTCATTTCTACTTGGCAAATAGAAAGTGCGTTTGTTGTATGCGTAATATAAAATTAACTGAATAGAGAATGTTCCGATGGCGTTACTTTCCGAATGAATACCCAGAGAATGCGTATTCAAATGCATTCGTTTGTTCACGTTTCTTTGTGTGATTCATCGATTCCGTCTCCGATGGACGCATTTTTAAAATCAGAATTTGGCTTATTTGTAGCATTACTCGTGCCAGTCATTAGCAGCACTAAGTGCATCTCCAAAACGCACCTATTAATGCTTGAAGTGCGTGAAGCTGTCACTAAATCATTCCCCAGTTTTACTCAAAATGACTGATTTTATGTTGGAGCATCGATTTTACCAAAATTTTTTCAACGATTTGCTACTAGGTTACTGATGGAAGATATGCTCATTTCACGAAGGTTTAACGTTTATATACAGCTTCAGCAATTTATTTTCAAGCCGTTTGCGTTCATACTTTGAGAAAATTCTACCCTGAACTGTCTGAAATTCCACTCAATTTTTCATTTATTTTCTGAAATCGTTTAATTCAGTTAAAAAGAAACGTCAACTTTACTTTCTTAGTCTTTGCTCGTTTCTCAGCAGCAAAAACTGTTCGAATTTTGATGTAAAGGAGGAAATGGGCTCTTCGTGCAGATAGATCCGTTCACACATTTATATGGGCAATCGTGACAAATGTAATTTCAAGAAAATTTTTCGATTTTATGTTATAGCCACGTTGCGTCATGCATTCCGATTCGATTACTGCAGCGTTTTTCTCTTACCCTTCTCCCTTCGTTGATTGTATCATTTTGTGCCTTTTTCCTTTCCCATGCAGTTGTTTTTTTGTTTTCGATATGGCAGTTGTTTTTTGTTGGTGATTAGCATAGGATGATGAGAAGAGAGGAAACGAACGGATGAAACTGATCGTAAGTGTGTGATGTATCGCGATGTATCTTCTACATGTGTCCGTTCTGTCAGATCACCAGTAATCGTGATGACGAATGTTTGTCTGCACTCTAATCAGCCGAAGCGCATCTGTGAAGATCCGTCTTCTCAACGATGCCTTTCAGCAGCTTTGTATGCGTAATCTTGTGACGGCAGTTCATGAAGCACCCACCACATCATGCCACGTCGGATGTTGTAATTTCGATGTGCTATGTTATGTTGTTCTTGATAATTGATCATCAACTAGTGCAGTAATCAAAGGTAACTGTGCTATTCAGCCGCAATTACTATCATTAGTCCTATCTTGATGTAAATGCACATAGAACTAATAGTGAAATGGTTGTAGGCGAATTAGTGACTTTCTTTATTCGCGTCATTGACTTCATTGTGGACGTGAAGCACTTGCAGCAGTAGTACCATTGAGTCAATCCTCTCGGATTACAAAATGCTCTCATGTTGAGTCAGAAACACTCGCAGGCAGCTCTGCTTCTCTTGGTTTGGTACAATATTTAATAATCAGTTTATACTTGGTTAGTTTGGTTATTTGTATGAAATGTGCATGATGAACAGCAGCAGCAGCAGCAGCAGNCAGCAGCAGCAGCAGCAGCAGTTGATTGTTTGAGCCGATTAGGTTAGGAGATGCAGTAAGAGCACAATGCATAAAGCGAATTTAGCCTAGATGAAGGCGAAGAAAATGCATATACGACTGGGTTGTGTGCTGGTGCATTAAGTAAGACACTCTAACTATTACGCATCTTTACGTAGTATTTCATCCACCCTCGAAATATTCCTCCTTCATAAATCATTTCTGAATCGAGTACGATCTAAACGAAACAACATAACCTCAACAATAACCACACCAGCTAATTCCATCTTATTAGTACTACAAGTTATACTAGTAATTCTATTTCCATCGTCACTAATCCTAATATTATAATGACTTTTGATGTTGGTCTATTGCTTAATCATTCTGCTTATGTGACTTCTCGATATGCACTCAAACCATCAATGTCACAAAACTTCATCTGCACCAAAATGTCAACCTGTTTCTGGTCTTATTGAAATGATCGAAATTTTCACACCGTAAATCATCATCTTCCACTGCTGTGATTTATATTCCACTCACAACTCAGTCCAGAAATAATACTCCAGAAATACCAATGATGGTCATTTATCATTGCTTTTCGGCGTTTCTTTCTAGGGTTTGCTCTTCGAGCAACAACAAAAAACGAGTTTTCCTTTTTTAAACTCTGAAAGCCCGCGAATATCCATCTGCTTCTTTATGGCGATTCTCTTATAGGCAGCACTTCTTTATAACCGTTACAGTCGTTTGCCAAATGATTCTCTGTTTATGCAGTGGAAACATTCCATTTTGGTCTACTCTTGTGGTACTGACTTAGTCTCGGTATTTCAACCGGATTTCAGATTCTGTTGAGTGTGCTGACAAGAGATCTTCCAAAATCTCTTTTTGAGACATATTTGAGGCACTGACTATACTGAATCAAAAAAAATCCTCAGTAACATTCAATACTGAACGACTTAGGATTTCATTTTATGAATGCGAAATGAGTGTGCTTTCAACTTCGTTTTACTGCAATAGAATCAGTGACGCGTCTCAGTGCAATTGGTAGTCATTTGTACTGTACTTCTATTCAAATTGTTATTTATTTGCTTATTACCGTGATAATTGCGTTGTTTGCTTATTCACACGTGCATAAATGCACAAATAAATGTGTATTCTGGATGCTAATTAAATTGATGTGTTTTTTGAATGTTTCAATCGTTGTTGCAAAGCGACAGTTGAATTCATTC